CTCTTCACAATGGGAAAAATGTCAAATGATTTGCAGCCAATTTTTAATCCACCATAAATATCCTATTGATTTCAAGAGAGTCAAGTTTCCAGAGCAAACAAGTGACAGCAAAGAGCTGTCAAGGATAGGTTTCTCATCTCTTGTATGGGAAGGACAGGATTTGAGGACATCCTATACCTGTACAGTTGGAAGAAAGGCCCTGCATTAAAGACAGAGATACAGGGAACTCAGAGCTGAAAAGGAACAAGGACCCTGCCTCCTCAGGATAAAAGAAAAAAGCGTTTACCCCAGTGATGCTCCTTGGGATGTGAAGGGGGAAAAATACAATTATCTCAGGTGCAGAAAAGTAATTTGATTGAATTTACGGACTAGTGACTGAAAAAAACCCTCTAACAAATTAGGACTAAAAAGGATCTTTCTTAATTATATGTAACTTATACACCAAAATCCCATCACACAATGTAGTTCATAATGAAGAAACTTTTGACAAGAAGGACTACTACTACTGCTGCTGTTTAACATGTTACTAGAATTCCTCAACAATGCTCTAGGACAAGAAAAATAAGATGTGGGAGGACTGGAAAGTAAGGAATAAAATTGTCAACATTTGAAGAAATTAAGATCACCTACTTAGAAAATCCAACCAAATCAACATGCAAACTATTATTCAATTATGAGAGTTTGACTAGTTTTCTAGATTCAAGATCATTTTATTGGAAACAATAGCATTTCTCTACACTAGCAATAAGTATCTAGGAATTAACACAGAACACACAAGACCTCTATGGAAAAACTTTTAAACTCTTAAAGGAGAAGTTTTGAATAAATGTGAAGATATTCTGATGTTCTTGGATCAGGTGACAAAATAAAGATATCCATTTTCTCCAAATTGATATGTAAATTCAATGAGATGCCAAATAAAATTCCAGTATGAATTTTTAATCTATTTTACCACTTTATCCTAAAACCTATTTAGAGGAATGAAATCCATGAATAGCTAAGTCAACTTTGAAAAAGAATATTAAGTGACTTGCCTTACCAGATTAAAACACACTACAGAGCTAAAGTAATAAAAATAACATTGTGCTGGCATAAGATCAGACAAATAGACTGTGCAGTAAAGAATTTAACCTCGCCAAAAAAGAGGCCTGATCTTTTCCCTTGGCATTTGGGAGGTAATATCTAAGCCCTTGAAATGTCATGCCTGATGGGAATGTCTTTTACTTGGGTGCCTTGGATCACACAGGATAGTCTAAGAATGTGATTTAGAGTCAGGGCTGGTCAGACCAGATAGTAACAGTGTAATCTAGGGTGGGAGTTTGGGGCATGTGGTATCAGTCAACTTCTGTAACGGCTGGAGACAGGAGACTGAGATCAGCCACACAGACAACCAATGATGCCTACATGCTGGAACCTCAATACAAACTCAAGACCAAGGCTCAGGTGGGCTTCCCTGGGTGGCAATACTCGGTGTATTGTTATACATCGATACTGTCCTAACTCCATAGGGACAACATTTGGTACTTTTCCTGGAGTCTTCCCTATGCATTTCTTCCCTTGACTGATTTTAATCTATATCCTTTCCCTGTAACAAACCATAACCATGTAGCCTTCATGAGTTCTGGGAGTTCTTCTAGCAAATTATCAAGACTGAGGGTAGTTTTGGGAACCTCTCAAACTTGCAATTAGCATCAGAAGTGAGGGTGATTTTATGTGGACTCTTCACTCTAAACAGTTGTTAACTTTCACACAAAGCAATGGAACAGAATAGAGAAATACACTCTTTAGCAGTGAGGAAATGATAAACTATTAGAAAATAATATTAGAAAACCAACTCATTACATAAGAAAAATAAAAGTGGGTTACTACCTTGTGCCACATACAAATAAGGATTCCAGGTGGAATAAAAACCTAATTGTGAAAGATAAAACTAATGGGAGAAAATCTTGTAGAATCTTTTTGTGACCTGAGTTGGAGAGACCTTATAACAAGATCCAACAAAGCACAAATAAGAAGTAAAGAAGAATTTTAAAGATGGCTTTTACTACACCAAATTAATGTTTAAGTAAAGGACCCCAAAGTTACCAGAAAAAATGATAGGCTGAGAGAAGTTATTGCAACGTCTAACATTAATACATAACTATCAAATGGACTATTAACTAGAATATACAACGAAACCACAAAAATCAAAAAGAAAAAAGTAGATACCCTCAATTAAAAAAATGAGAAAAGGATATGAAAAGTCATTTCACAGAATGGGAAAACCAAATAGTTAACAAGTCAAAGAAATGATGTTCAAACTTTTTAATAGATAAAATTTAAACAAGACACCAAGTTATACATATGTGATTGTGAAAAGTGAGAAAGCTGGATAATGCCAAGTGTTGGTAGTGGTCTAAGAGGAACTCTTACACACTACTGGCGAGAATAATTAAGTATAAGTGAACCCTAGGATACAGCAATCCCATTCCTGGGTACATACCCCAGAGAAAATTTCACATTTCCATAGGAGATATGTAAAAGAACTTTAATCAAACCTTGTTTGCTGTGCTGTTGAAGGGGTGGTGTTTGATGATGGGATTGGAGGCCATCTAGCATCCATCACTGAGGGAATGGGCAAATGAAATTTGATGGAATGTTATGGAGCAGTTCGAATAAAAGAACTGAACATGGTTTTTGCAACAGTGAAAGAAGTTAAGAAATGTCTATGGTGCAATATTGTTTGTGTAAACTAAAAATAAAAACAAAAAATAACATTTATTTTTTACAAGGAGACGCAAACTTAAGGACACAGTGAGTTTGAGGGGATTAGAGATGGAGATAAAAAGGAATTGTGTGCGCCTGAGTTCTAATAAAAATTACATCTGTGTATTTTTTAATATGTTACAAACAGTATGTATAATCTCAAGGAAAAGATTTTAAATAGAAAAAGTCACTCTGATAAATGCTTTTAATGTAATAGAAGCCTTTGGGAGAGCAGAAGGACCTGACCTAGCTCTGGGGAGGGCCTGCAGCCTTCCCTGAGAAATATAGACAGGTTAAACAAACGCCAGGAGAACTGGGAAGAGAGTGACAGATAGTTTAATTTTAGGTAAAGGGAACCTCATGTGCAGTCTCACAGAAGAGGCAGGATGAGTGGGGATTGTGCAGACTGCAAGAAAATCATATGGAGTCCAGAGAGAGCAGCTTAGGTAATCAGAGGCCGTTTGGCAGGTGTGGGGGCCGAGGGTATATGGGAATTCCCTGTACCTTCCTTTTAATTTTGCTGTGCACCTAAAACTGCTCTAAGAAAATAAAGTCTTTTTAAAAAATCTACTTATGCTTTTTAAAAACGTTCTTATTGTAAAATATTTCAAATATACAAAGGAGAGCAATGAATAAGCACAAAATCATCACCTATGTTTAATGACTGTTCACATAGTGTAATATTTATGCCTATATTGTTGAACTACTTTAGATATGACATTTCAGCTCGAAATATTTCAGGTTACACCTGTAAAATATGGCACCTAACAAAATGGCACCACACCAAACAAAATTAACAATAAGTCCTTTACATCATCTAATATCCTGTCTATACTCAATTGTAACTAATTGTTGAGCAGTTAAATATAATTTATGGCTGCACAGAGTTCTATGATATGCACAAACCATAAATTACTCGGCTATGCATTCATTGTAGGGCACTGATTTAGGGCAAGATTATTGTAAACACCCTTGCTAGTCCTTATAGTCTTGGGATTCTAGTCCAGGGGTTCTTAACACTTCGGGGATTGTAAGGACTGAATTTTTTTTTTTTAAGATTTTATTTTTCTTTTTTCTCCCCAAATCCCCCCGGTACATAGCTGTGTATTTTTAGTTGTGGGTCCTTCTAGTTGTGGCATGTGGGATGCTGCCTCAGCATGGCCTGATGAGTGCTGCGATGTCTGTGCCCAGGATCCAAACTGGCGAAACCCTGGGCCACTGAAGCAGTGTGCGCAAACTTAACCACTTGGCCACAGGACTGGCCCCCGGACTAAATTTTTATCTACTCAAAATTCCTATGTTGAAATCTAATCCCCAATACAATGGTATTTAGAGGTGGGGTCTTTAGGAGGTAATTAGGTCATGAAGGTAGAGCCCTCAGGAATGGGACCGGTGCCCTTATAAGGCAATGAAGGGAGCAGAGCACTCTCTTCGGTCCACGTGAGGCTAGAAGGAGAAGTTGCCAGTCTGCAATTCAGAAGAGGGTCCTGGCCAGAACCCAACCATGCTAGCAACCTGATCTGACTTCCAGCCTCCAGAACTGTGAGCAATAAATGTTATGGTATTTTGTTATAACAGCCTGACTGAGATGGGTTATATATTTCTTTGGGAATCTAAGTCAAGTTTTGGATCTGATCCCTAGAAAAATATACCTAGGCCCCAATATGCAACATCGTACATACAACTTCTGAGAGTTCAAGGACCTCTGGGAACCTTTCCAGGGAGTCCCCACACTTCAAGTCAAGGAGATCAGCTCCTTACTCGTGACTGTCCATGGGCCACACTACACTGATGAACAGAGAGCTGCTAAGGCTGACCCAGAACTGCACATACATGGTCATTACTCAAACTGCTTCAACTTTAAACTGGACCCTTCAGGAACAACAAACCCTGTGCTTCATCTCCCATCAGTTTCCTGCCAAATCCCTACCCTGTTAACCCACATCTCTGTGCTAAAGGCCCCAATCACAAGCCTTCTAAATTCCTCCTAAAGCAGGTGGCCCGTCAGGTCTCTCAGAACTATCTCTGTTCTGGTCTTAAAAACTACTATTTAGGGGCCGGCCCCGTGGCACAGCAGTTAAGTTTGGCATGCCCCACTTCAGTGGCCCAAGTGCATGGGTTTGGATCCTGGGTGTGGACCTACACCACTCATCAGCCATGCTGTGGCAGCAACCCACATATAAACGGGAAGAAGACTGCCACAGATGTCAGCTCAGCGCTAATCTTCGTCAGCAAACAAAGCAAAACAAAACTACTATTTATGATGTAATGTTACTGTATTTCATCAAATTGAAGGCAATACTGGTTGAAAAAAAGGCATCCCAATTTCAGAAATGTTAAAATGCAAAGAGAATGGTCCATCTTGCAGGCTTACAGACTGTTGATAAACAGCTGCTGCACCAACCACCTCCCAAACTGACCTATTCAAATCCTGGGACACCCCCCCCACCCCAATTTCCCCTAATCCTAAAACTAAAGGGTTAATATCAGATCTAGCAGGGGGCTTCCAAGGTCCTGCTCCATCCCTGGCCTATGTCTTCCCGGATGGCCAGTGCCCGTGCCTCATAGGCTGATAAATATTCTACATGATACTACAGGTTGCAAAGCTTTCCAATTCCTTTCCAGGCATGTATTTCTGTACCATCACGGCTGTGCAGAGCACTGAGTTCCCTGGATGTGTGGAATAATTTCCTGAGTATGTGAAGAGAGGGTGCGGAGGGCAGGGACAATAAGAGTGGGGATTGGGTAATTTGTGATCATAGCTTCAGCCCTCTCACCCCCTGGAGTGGGAGGAACCGAGGACCCATTGCCCAGAGAAGCCTGTTAGGATAGCAAACTTTAGACGAAATGTTGAGCATAGGTTATTTGAAGAAAGAGGGAAGATATCAACTCATCTGGGCCATGGCTTTAGGGCTTAAGTGATGCAAACTTCTTCCTTCACGCTCCTCTGGTAAGAAGCACAGAGTCCTGTAGTCTGGAGGAAGAAAAAGGAGATAGAAGGCTCCGGGCCTGTCTTGCAGCTTCCCAACACACGATTCGAGACTCATTCTTGCTTCCTTCTCTGACTCTTGATACACACGAAGATTCTTTATTCTTTATTCCCCCCAAACCGCCATAATACTGGGGTTGAGTCCCTCAGACACCAAGGAGCAGCTTGCATCCCTGGGAAAATGGCTGCATTTTGCCACAGCGCTTGCCTTCGGCTCTAGGGGATGGAGTTCACTACTCTCTCCTGAACAGGGGGTGCACACACCAGAGATGCTCAAGGATTTATTGTTTAAATCACCTTAATAAGTCTAATAGCAATAATGACATTAATACTAATAACTAGGTAAGAACTTTGTATATATCATTATCTCATTTGATTCTCAAAAAAAGAAAACCATAAAAGGAAAGTGCAATGTTAAGTATTTTCCCCCATTTTACAGATGATGGAAACAAAGAGGTTAAGGTAACATCCAAAGTCACGCGCTTTGTGGGTGGAGCCCGGCGTAGCATCGAGGTTTCTCTGACTCCGAGACGAGCCCTCCTTGAGTAAGCCGGCGTGGCCTTGAGCGGAGTGTGCTCCCGCTGTCTTCTCTGTAGGTCACACGGAGAAACACTTGTGAATTCTCATTACAAGACCAAGTCCGCCACGCAGGAGAATCTTGGTGCTGGGAACCTTCACTCTGAGACTGAAACTCCTGTCTTCTCTCCAAAGATCACTTTTTCAGGGATTCTCTAAGGCTATTGGGGGAAAGGAGGGAGCAGCAGGGGGGATTCACAGCCGTAGATCAGAGACCCTAGAAAACGCCGGCCGCGCAGGGCCATTATCGCACTCCGCAAACGGGCCCCGGCGCCGGCGCGCGCCCACCTCCAGGCGAGGCGCCGCACGCAAGACGAAGGCTCAGGCTCCTCCCACCGAAGGACTTTCAGACACTCGCCCTCCTCCTGCGGCAAAGTCAGCCACTATTTGAGGCAGAGAAAGAAATGCTCCTATTCACAAACACCGGGTTATCATTAGGTCACTAAGCGTTACCCAGTGGCACTCACGCCGGCAAGCCACAGAGGCACACCACCTCACCAGGCTGGTGACCGCGTCACAGGCGCAAGGCCGCAACGGTCTCCCTCACACACACGGTAACGCACGACACGGTCACGCGCAGGCGCCCACGAGCAAGCTATCACGGCCTCACACGTTCAACCCTCGTAGCAACACGTCACAAAGACACACGCTCTAAGCAGCAGCCTGCAAGACACACCGGCGGACGGACACAGACCTGACAAACCGGGCACGCAGGGACACACCCTCACACGCAGCCCGGACACAGACGGACACACAGCCGCTGGCGGGCCCGCATAGGCCGGCCCCTCCGCAACAGCGGGTCGCAGCACCCAGCGGCCCGGGACCGCACAGACGCGCCTAGCCGACCCTAACACGGCTAGCTACGCACGCTGTCGCGTCACCAGACCGCCTGGGCCGCAGTGGCCCCTGGGAAATGTAGTTGGGGGAAGGGGGAGGCCGGAAACGCTCGGGCGAAGGGCTCTGGGGCTGGTAGTTCAGGAGGGAGAAGCCGGCGCTTCGCGCTGTAACCCGCGCGAGGGGCGCCCGCCCCGCCCTGGAGCCGAAGCCCCGCCCCGCCGCGCCCCGCCCCGGAGCCGAAGCCCCGCCCCGCGGTCCCGCTCAGCCCGCTAGGGCTGCGCAGCGGCGTTCCCGCACGGAGCGGGGGCGTAGCGGGAAGGGAAGGGACCAGAGCGCCGGGCAGCGGTGGAAAGGAGGAAGCTCCGTAGGGCGGAGAGGGAGGCTTCCAGAGACCCTCCCACCAGCAGAGCGCGAAGGTGCTGTGGTCAGGAAGCCCCAGAGCTGGGAGCATCGTCGTGGGAGAGGAGCGCTCTGGTGATGCTCGTCCGAGGGGAACAGCAAGCCAAGGGACCCGCAGATGATGTTAATTGTGGCAGCTCATTGCGTTATAACGGGGCTCAGAGGCTGTAAGATGAACTTTGGGACGCTCCGTTTCCCTAATATCACTCTGTCTCAGAGCAGGCAGAGCTGGAGAAAAAGACTTGTGAGTGCTGCGGACACAACGAAAATGTCTTCCTGGGGGAGGCGGAGCTCCTGGCTCCCAACTAGGAAGGGAGCCCTCGAGAAAACACTCACTCACTGTGCCCGGGCAACCCATGATGCAGGTACAGTCTTTTGTGGTGCTGGGCTCCTGGGGGACTGGAGGAGGGGGCATCTTGGGGGCTTCCAGCACCAGGGCCCACCAACCTTTACCCCAGGTGCCGCCCAAGGCAAAGCAATGGCTTCCTACGCCCAACACCCACACTATATGCCCAATTTTTCGGCAAGAATTAAGGGTATTCAGTGTATGTCTTGGGACCAGAATAAGCTAAATACCTGGAGGGAAAGGATTTTCCCCGCAACGACATTGAGGAGGAGGGGCTCGCAATAGGGACCAATAAAAATTGGTCCAAATCATGGCACTTCTCAACCTTCATCATGGCGCAAACAGAAAATGGTAAAATTTGTATGGCACACTGGAGTTGTATAAGTTAGGGTGTAGATTAAGCTGATATAATAAAGACTTCAGAATACGGTGACCTAAATATCATATATTCATCTCTCCCTCGTGTAAGAGTCTGGGGGTGAGCAGTCTAGGACGTGGGATAGCTCTGCCTTCCTGAACAAGTAGTTTCCATCTTTGGGACAAAGGAGGATGTTAAAATTCTCAGTGTCTCCCAGCTGGCAGGGCAAAGGAAGGGGAGAGAAAGCGGGCACAGAAATAATGATCCCTGTTGTTCACACGTCATTTGGTAAGTAAATTGGGTTTCATAAAAATTAAAAACTTTTGTGCACCAAAGGATATTACAAGAAAATGAAAAGATAACCTACAGTAGGGAGAAAATATTTGCAAATTATGTATACCATAAGGGTTTAGTCTCCAATATATAAAGAGTTATGTAGGAACTCTTTATGACTCAACAACAAAAAGACAAATAACCCAATTAAAATTTGGGCAAAGGACTTGAATAGACATTTCTGCAAAGAAGATATACAAATGACCAACAAGCACACAAAAAGACCCTTAACATCATTAGTCATTAGGGAAATGCAAATCGAAACCACATAAGGTACCAATTGACATCCACTGGATGGCTATCATTAAAACAGGAAAGTAAGTGTTAGTGTGAATTTAAAAAGGAAAGTAAATGTGGAAAAATTGGAAACCTTGTACACCGCTGGTGGGAATGTTAAACGCTTCAGCCACTATAGTAAACAGTTTGGCAGTTCCTCAGAGAGTTAAGTATAGAACTACCACTTGACTCAACAATTCCACTCCTGGCCTGTACCCCAAAGAACTGAAATAAGTACGTGCATGTTCATGACAGCAATATTCACAACAGCCAAAAGGTGTAACTATCCCAAATGGCCATCAACAAATCAACGGGTAAACAAATTGTGGCATATACATACAGAGGGATATTATTCAGCCATAGAAAGGGATGAAGCATGGATGAACCTGCAAAACATTATGCTCAAGAAGCCAGATACAAAGGTCACATGTTGTATGATTTCATTTATGTGAAATATCCAAAATAGATAAATCCATAGAGCTAGAATGCAGATATGTTGCTAGGGACTGAGGAGAGGGGCGAATGAGGAGAGACTGCTTAATGGGTACAGAGTTTTACTCAGGAGATGGAAACATTTCAGAACTAGACAGAGATAGTGGTTGTGCAACATTGTGAATGTACTAAAATGTTCACTTAAAAATGGCAAATTTCATACTATGTGAATTTCACCTCAATAATTATTTTTTAATTGGGGATGGTCTAAATACCCCAATTAAACAGCAGAAATTTTCAGACTGAATTTTTAAAACAATACCAAATTGTATGCTGCCTATGAGAAACCCATTTTAAATAGAAAGACAAAAATAGGTTAAAAGGATGAAAAAGATATGCTATGCTAATACTAATTAAGAGAAAGCTAGAATGGGTATATTAATATCAGACAAAGTAGACTTGGGAGCAAAGAATACTACTAGGGACAAAGAAGGTAGTTTTGTAATGAGAAGGGGATCAATTAAGAGTACATAACAATCTCAAATGTTTATGCATTTAATACAAGAGCTTCAAAACACATAAAAACTGATAGAATCAAAAAAGAAATAGACAAAGTCACAATTATGGCTAGAGATGTCAAAACCCCCCCCCCTCAAAAAAATTAGAGATAGTAGACTTGAACAAACAAATTAATGCAACAGAATAGGAAATACATGAATGTACCCAAAACACATCTGGTAACTTGGTATATGCTAAAGGTGACATTTCAAACAAGTGGGAAAAGATGGATTATTTGTGAATGGATCTGAGAAATGGGGTGGCCATATGGGGTAAAATTAGGTTTTTGCACAAAAAGCTTAAATGTAAAAAAATGAAAACACAAAAGTAACAGGAGAAATCATGGGAAAAATTTTAAATTATCTCAAGATGCAGAGGGCCTTTGAAACATGCATCAAAACTCAGATGCCTTAAAAGAAAATACTGGTAAATTAGATAACGTAAAAAGCAATTTTGCATAGCAAAAGAGGACTGTAAACAAATTCAAAAAACAAATAAACTGGAAAAAAGTATTTGCCAATCATATCATAAGATGCTAATTTCCATACTATATAAGTAAAAGGTCACTTTTCAACTGAATATTGAGTAAGAGATATAAACAGTTCATAGAAAAGAAGTCCAGACTCATTTATAATAAGAAAAAGGCTACACTGGGATATCATTTTCCAACTCTCAGATTAATAAAGATCCAATAGTCTTATGGCTTGACCTAATAGATGAGAAATTTATACCCCAAAGCTCAGAAAACATAGACTTTTTTAATTTACATGTAACAGTTATGAAAACTGATCACATATGAGGCTATAAAAGAATCAATACACATGTCTGACTATAATGCAGTAGCATCAAAAACCAATAAAAAGATAGCCAAGACTTTTGAGTTAAAGGAGAGCACCTAAAGTAAATTACAAAATACGGAAATGAATAACAACAAAAACACTAAATGCCAGAATTGTAGGACACAACTTATGTAGTAGAGGGAAATGTACAGCTTTAAGTACCTTTATCAGGAACAACAAAAAACTAAATTCTCAATTCAAAAATGTAGATTAAGAGGGATAGAGTACACTCAAAGAATTAAATTATAAACATAAAGGGCAGAAATCTATAGAGAATTAGGAGAAATAAGAGAAGAGGATAACAAAACCAAGAGATAGGTTTTTTAAAAGATCAATGATCAATAAGTTATATGAACTTCTGTCAAGGCAGATAAAAAGAGCAAAGATGCAAATATGAAAATGAGTAAGAAACCAAATGAAGTCAGAAGAATAAAAGAATCTTATGAATCACTATTTGCAACCAAATTTGACAATGTAGACAAAATGAATACATTTCTAAAAAATATAAAATACCAAAATTGGCACAAGAACAAAAAATTTGAATAAATCTGATAAATTGAATGGTATAAAAACATCCCCTCAAAAGGAGAAAAAGCCTAAAGAACAATTTTAATCAAACTTTTATGAATGGATTTGATGACCTATTTGATAAGAGATAAATGAGGAAAAACACTGATAAAAAGAGAGTCCAAATGACTGAGCAGTATGTGGAGATATGCTCCAAGTCACCGGTAGTCAAGAATAATGCAAACTAAAACATCCAAGGAAGATAATATCAAGTGTTTACAAGGACGGAGCAAGAGGTGCTGCTGGTGAGAATGGAAACAGTTGTAGCTACTGTAGAAAATAATCTGGTTGTACGTGGTAAAACCGTGCAAAAAAACCTTTGCCCAATATTCCAGGGTAAATATTCTAATCTGGTTCAGGTCCACAAGGGGACACATACTAGGATGTTCTTTGTGGCAGCCAGGAGTGTATCCATCACTGCAGGAAAGAATAAGTAGAAAGTAGTAAATATAACTATGAATTACTAAGCAAATCTTAGAAGCAATGAATAGCATTACAGCACTGTGCACAGAGGCACAGGATAGATCTAAAAAACGGTGCTGAGGAGAAACAAAAATGACACTTTTATAGCATAATACCATTAATGTAAATTTCAAACACGCCTCTTATTTGATAAGGGATATACACACATTTAAGGATGCATACCAAACATACCTGTGTGCATACCTATGGGGGAGAATAGGAAAGAACGAAGAAACAAGTGTTCGACTAAATAATTTTGATAATGTACTATGAATTGAGGTCCAAAAATATAAATGCAAATTTTAAAAACCAAGAGCCATACTCTTCATGGCCTCTATCTTAATAGAAGGCAGAGTTCTAACAGCCTCAAATATCCGAACAGTCTGACCAACTCTGGAGCCGCAGTTCCCATCCCAGCATCAGAGAGCGGGGCTGGGAGCGCACTGTTTCAGACTCCGTCCATATACTGGGAGGCAGGACACAGGCGCTGAAGTTACAGTTCTGTCTCCCATGAGCAGCTGGCTCTCAGGCATGCAATTCAACTTCCTGATTGATTTCATCCTTAATAACTGCCATGTTAACTGTTTACAGATATTAGATCCTTTCAAGGAATCCTCAAAAAAAACTTGAAAGGCTGGAATTTCAGTTTTCCAGATAACTACACTGAGCCTGAGACAAGTATAATCACCTTTTCCAGTTCTCCTAACTAAAGAAGCTGACATCCCTATGAAGGTCTAACTCCAATACCTACACTTGTGCCAATAATCAAAAGAGTGGATACTTCCACACTTTCTGGAAGAATACGTGAGGAATTACCATGCAAATGCCTTCAGGAAAGCTGACCAGGAGGGTGACTCATTCCCCTGTCACTAAAGTACCCTCACCTCATGGCTTCAAGGACTCTGCTTTCCTCCACCATACAATCTACTGTCTCCCTGTCTTGAGCCTCATGAATAAAGCAGAAGATCTTAGGAGGGTACAGCAAATTAATATGCTAAGTAAGAACTAGAAATCAATGTGAAATCATGTCCTAAAAAGGAAACATTTTTCCAGCTGTCTCTAAAAGGGACCCAATCATAATGGCAGCAATTTTGCCCAAAATTTATGTGCAGTCCTAGCATCCAAATACAGTAACTACTAAAAGAATGCAGGACTCTGCACACAAAGCTTTGCATTGTTTGCTCAGGAAGAGAGGTCCGAAAGACATTTAAAAAGAAAGCAAGCCTTCTGTAGGGGAGAGAACAAGTGGAATTATGACGTATCTGAAGAAGCTTGGCCACACCTCCTTTTCACTTATCAACTGAGGCAGTGTCAAATTATCATTAATTTTCAAATGGTCATTTTTTTAAGTTACTGAAACAATGTTTTACAAATCCTGGCACAACTTCTGGTTTTATAAAGGGTAACTAATACCTACTTCTTATTACAGTGAACTGTACTGTGAAGTTGGGCCATTTTTTTCTTGGGCAACAGAAATGACAGAAAACAGAAAATAGAGTATAAAGGAAAATGCTATCTTACTTCAGACTCTTTCCAAGTCTAGCTAGCAAGACCTTTTACTGAGAAAAATGGTTTCCTTTCTTAAAAGGGAAACTTCTATTTCTGATTTCATATCCTTTTTTTTTAGATTTTATTTTTCCTTTTTCTCCCCAAAGCCCCCCAGTACACAGTTGTGTATTTTTAGTTGTGGGTCCTTCTAGTTGTTGCATGTGGGATGCCACCTCAGCATGGCTTGACAAGCTGTGCCACGTCCGCGCCCAGGATCTGAACTGGCAAAACCCTGGGCCACCGAAGTGGAGTGTGTGAACTTAACCACTCGGCCACGGGGCCAGCCCTCATATCCTCTTTTGAATATATATGCTTGTTTTCTCCCTCCCTAAATTCCTTGGAAAGTAGCTAACTTCATGAGTTTGGGCAGGAAACACTGAGGATGGGTCCGGAACATCCTATTATTGCAGAAAGTAAGGATGCTTGCACAGATGTCAGAGCAGTACTGAAGGGAGCAAGGAGCTAGCTTAAAGTGGCCCCAGTGGCTAAGTTCTGACAACTTGAGCATCAAAAATGTATACATTTTAATTAATTACAATGTGTTAAGGGGCCGGCCCGGTGGCACAGTGGTTAAGTGTGCACGTTTTGCTTTGGCGGCCCAGGGTCTGCCAGTTTGGAACCCAGGTGTGGACATGGCACCACTTGGCGAACCATGCTGTTGCAGGCGTCCCACATATAAAGTACAGGAAGATGGGCACAGATGTTAGCTCAGGGCCAGTCTTCCTCAGCAAAAAGAGGAAGACTGGCAGCAGATGTTAGCTCAGGGCTAATCTTCCTCAAAAAAAAGAAAAAAAATGTGTTAAGATTGTAAAAGGTCATGAATTTCTGAGATTAAAAAGAAAAATGTTAAAATGTAATTCACAAATACATAGATATAATAAAATATGGGAATGAATTTAGTAAGTACAAAGTATAAAATATATGTATTTACATCTATGGATTACATATACAGACACATATATGGATTTCCTTCTCATGGGGTATAGGAGGCATGTAAATGTGTGTCTATATATGCAGTGTGTATAGGTGGGTCTCTTCTCTCTCCCAGGTCTTTAATCAAAAGTCAAGCTCCAAAGAGGCCTTCTCTGGCCATACAATCTAAAGTATCAACCTGGTCCCCTATGTCGTCCTTCCTCTTTTTCTCCTTAGAATTTACTCTCTTACATTTATATATTTTACTGATACATACTTTCTATTGTTTGTCTTCCTCATTAGAACTTAGCTGCACAAAGGCAGGGAGTTTTGTCTGTTTAGTTCACTCTGTATCTCCAATACCTGGATTAGAACAAAGCCTGGCACACAGCAGACACTCTATACACAGTTTTTAAAAACACATACACACAAATACAAACCTCCTGCTTAATCAAGAATAGATAAAGTTCTTAAATATGGTGAGCAAAAATCGCATAAACTGTAACAAGGTAGAAAGACATGTTCAGCATAATAACCAGATTAAAAAGGAATCCACCAGTTCATCGCCATTGATCATATCCAATAACCAAGTAGAAGGGGTTTCACCGGTGTGTTCTAAACAAACTAGTCCATGTCCTAAAGAGAATCAGCTGAACAGACGCAAACCCTCATCTCTTGGGACAGGAAATCTCTAGATGGTCCTAATAACTACAAGATACTAATAAGCATAAATTTTTAATAATGCTAAGAGATCAAGTCAGGAAATCACAATAAGACAATGGATTGTATAGTTGCAGATTAACAAAATTTAGTACCTCATTGTGAAGAGAAACACCAGATTGTAAAGTTCAAACACCTATGCTAAAGGCATGAGTGTGAAAGATTCTATCAACATTACTGTTGAAATTTTGAACTGTAAGAACAGAGAATCAATCGGTGGCTTGGGTTTATGTCACCTTAGAGGAAGAAATCAGGTGTCATATTTAGATCAAGAATCAGTTACTGAATAATTCAGACTCTTCACTGGTTTGAGTCATTATTCTTTTCCCTTTAGGCCTGGTGAGTTTACTGTCACCTTGGGGAGGTTTCCGAAATAAGTTATTACTCAACCCTTAGAAAGTATTAAAGTATTAAAATAAGTATCCCTATACTGCCAGGAAATATAAGAATAAATAAAAGATGATATGAATTTAGCTTGTGATATTAATACATTTTAGATTATATGTATATAAGTTTGGCAGTGTTTTATAATCACTGTATTTGTCTCAGTTCAAGTTTGAAGTATTCAATCATACAAAATCTGTAATGTAAGTGGTTTAAAGGGAATTTGTCTTAATATTTCAGAAAAATAACTTTCAGATTTTTATTAGACGTAAGTATAAATTGACTATTAAAGCAACTACGAAAGCAGTAGTCATTGTTTCGTTCCATGCACATGTATAAATCCTATACTCTTTTCTAATTCATATGTTCTGTTTTTATAGATGCTCTCGAGACAATGCCCAAGATTCTAAGCACTTCTAACTGTTCAAGGAGGCCATGTTCCCATATCATCAAAGTTTACCTCCCTCCATCCACTCAGATCAAACAGGAATAGACTGCTCCATGCCCTCAAGTTCCTCATTACCCCGAAGAACGGTCATGATTTATTCCCTAAAAATTGCAGGCTCCAACTGCTTTACTTTGACCATTAATTGAAAATGGTTCACCCTTCTGTCTGCCAGCCATGTCTTTTGTCTGCCATCTTTAGTTCTAAAGAAGTTATCAATAAACTTCTTAAGCCAAGTTTACAATCTACCCACAAAAGAAGACCTCGTTTACAATTCTTATTGTATTCCATTACACAATATATTTAAACCCATACTGAAAGCAGAAAGTCAAATAATTCCTTTAAGATGAAGAGCCATTCATTAAACCGATGGATCCATTATTCTCTCAGCTTGCCATTCTTTCTTTAAAGGCCTCTGGTGAGTCACTGCCACAAATGACTTTAACTCCTTACAGGAGAGCCTACTAAGGAGTTTTACTAGGTGAATTTTTAAAATTCATCCTTATTGTGAAACAGACTAATAAATACTAAATTAATTTTTATCAACAAATAAAACAACAATTCTCTCAGCTTTACAAAGGCTGTGCATTCAACTTTTATACACTTGTTATATCATAAGGTTTCTCCTCAGGGTAAATAATTATGCCGTACAAAAGTCTAAGGCTTTCTCACATGTATAGCAAACATGAGGTGAATGAGTCAGGACTCTAATTCCAAGAGGCAAAAATCCAACTCAAATTAACTTAAGCAAAAAAAGGAAATTTATTGGATCACAAAAATGAAAAAGTAAAGGATGGTGTAGACTTCAGGCACGACTGGATCCAGGAGATAAAACAATGTCATCAGATTCCTGTGTCTCACGTGCATTTTCTCTGTGTTGGACAGATCTTGGGAAGACTTTCCTCATGGAGTAGCAAAAAGGCTACTGGTGAGTTTTTAACCTTACTAAATCCTTGAAACTTGCAATGCCAGAAAGAAAAAGATCTTCTCCTACTACCCATGACAATATCTCTATATGGCTCTACTGGTCCAGACAGGGCCATTTGCCAATCTCTTATTAATCACTAGGAGGAAAATAATCAGCCAGCCTATGACCAATCCACTGCCTCCCTGATTAATAGTTTCATCAGCATCATATGCACTGAGGGTGATGTAAGTCTCAAATGGGGCATAGAACAGATCAAACAGTAACAGATGTCTACCACCCAGGTTATCTCAAATAAGGGATGCTCACGAACTGAAGGCTCTTTCATATGCGCTACATTCACAGAATTACTAACCAAAGAATTCACTGATATTTATTTAATAAGGACTGAGAGGTGACTGAATGTTTTCTTTTTTATACTTGTAATAATCAGAGAGTTTCTCTATTATGAATTTTCTGATGGCGCCTGAGGGCTGAGGCACAGCTAAAATTATTCCCACATTCATTACAGTTATAGGGTTTTTCTCCAGCATGAATTCTCTGGTGTAGCCTAAGGGACAAAATCTGATGGAAAGCCTTCCCACATTCATTACATTCATAGGGCTTCTCTCCAGTATGAATTCTCTGATGCTGATTAAGGTATGAACCACAACTGAAGGCCTTCCCACATTTACTGCATTCATAGGGTTTCTCTCCTGCATGACTTCTCTTATGATGAATTAGAACAAGAGCATCACTGAAGGCTTTCCCACATTTACTGCATTCGAAAGGTCTTTCTCCAGTATGAATTCTATGATGTCGATTAAGCTGTGAGTCAGTCCTAAAAAACTTCCCACATTTGATGCATTCATAGGGCTTTTCTCCGGTATGAATTCGCTGATGTTGATTAAGGTGTGAGCGATAACCAAAGGTCTTCCCACATTCGTTACATTTAAAGGGTTTCTCTCCTGTATGAATTCTTTGATGCAGAGTAAGGGCTATGCGTCTGCTAAAGGCTTTTCCACACTGACTACATTCGTAGGGTTTCTCTCCAGTGTGGATTCTCTGATGTTGATTAAGGTGTGCGCTCTGTCTGAAGGCTTTATTACATTCCTTACATTCATATGGTTTCTCCCCGGTGTGAATTCTCTGATGTTCAACAAGGAAGGCATAACGGCTGAAGGCCTTCCCACATTCATTGCATGCAAAGGGTTTCTCTCCAGTGTGGATTCGCTGATGCTGAGCAAGGTGTGCGCTCTGTCTGAAGGCTTTGTTACATTCCTTACATTCATACGGCTTCTCTCCAATATGAGATCTCTGATGTTCGCTGAGAAAGAAGTCATGGCTAAAAGCTTTTCCACAGTCATTGCATGCATATGGTTTCTCTCCACTGTGAATTCTCTGAGGTTGAGTAAAGAACGAGTAACAGCTAAAGGCATCACCACATTCATTGTGTCCATGGGGTAATTTTCCAAAATGAGTTGTTTGATGTTGAGTAAGTAATGAGTGGAAACTGAAGAGATTTGAATAATCATTACTTTCATAAGATTTCTCCCCATGAGGAATTCCTGTATCTTTACTAAGGTATGTATTCTGGTTAAATTCTTCACATTTGTTACCTATCAAAGATTCCTTCTCAGCATGTAGTCTTTTATGTTCAATTAGAACCGAATTTTGGGGGAACATTTTATCATAAATATCAAATTTATGTACTTGCTCTACTGTGGGAACTCTTTGTTGTGTTAAAAGTACTGACTTCAAGAGAATGCTTCTCTCAGAATTATTATATTCATTATCTCTTTTCACAGCAGAAATTTCTTGAAGAGTCGTCACTTGCCTGAAATGCCTCTCCTGACTTCCCTGATATCGCTCAAATTCACCCTCATACTTCCAAGGTCCCCTGAAACTGGAGCATTCGAGGTCATGACTTGTCAGTCTTCCCAGTACTATCCTCTGGGATATTTCCTCTTCATCAACGAACCATTTTGGAGATAATTCCTTGATTTCATACCAAGACTCCCAGTCTGAAAAATATCAAGAAAGCAAATGTCTTCTAGTTTCCCTTTGCAAGGAGAAAGAAAACTGTTAGGGAAGAAACTGAAAATTTAACTGAGAGAAGGAGGGGGAAATGTACATGGGATGACATCTCTCAAATTACAATATGAACAAAATACAAAGAAAGCACAAAGAAAGAAGAGAGCTGATAGAGGAAGGTATATGTGTTGGCGACGGGGAGGAGGTGATGGGGAAACAGGTAAAATGTAGGGCATCGAGATGAAGATAAAGCTAAATGCCAAGAAAATAAGGACTTGAGAACAACCAATTAGATCCTGACTACAGATTCCCCGCCTCTAGTCTTTACATTCTCCACCCCATTCTGCACTGGCATTCAAAAGACTCAAAGCTCCCTGAGGGCAGGGGTGAAATGTTTACTTCTTATTCTTCTTACTGTTTCATCCAGTGCCTAGGACGATGGCAGCACTTTGTTGAGTGAATGAATGCTGACAGAATACTCAACAACTTCTAAGATTTTGTCAGGGACCAGAGAAAAATTATTGGGTTTTTTCTCAGTGTCTAGAAGAAATCTGGAGGTCAGTGTTAATCATCGAGAAAAATACTGCTTATAGAATAGACACCTGTTCCTTTTAGGAGAGGATACTGGTTGAGGTAAGGTGGAAAGGAAACTTTTTTAAAAGATGATCTCAAAAAAAGGAAAATGAGAATGTCCTTTTCATGTCACACCACAATAGTCAGCCTGTACAGTGCACCACAGAGAACCTACTCCTAGGTGCCCAGCACCCTGAGGTAGAGGAAAAGAAAGATCTGAGACACGAGTCCATCTCGCTTTTTTAAACTCTAAGGAGAGACATAAAACTTGTGCACACAAAACTTCAATACAGCATATAATGAAGGACTAGTTAATATGATATGGATTATTAGTAGAAAAGTGTCAGAAAAACAGAAATCAAACTCATTAGCTTAGTTGAGGAGTAATTCCTAGAGAATATGTGCTTGATTTTCAAGGCTATGATCGGGCTTCCAAAATACAGTGATTATTTCAGTAAGAAATTTTGACAAGTAAGTAATTTTGATGTTTTGATGTGCTTAGGGATTATTTTGGAACTGCACATGTTAGCATTTTTTCGGTTAATTAGATACAGCCTTTTCCAAAACAGTTTCCCATCTGTTGAAAGAAAAGCTGCCTCCAGGCTAGGTCAGCACAAAATTGAAAAGCAAAAAACATTATGCATCTGCCTATTTCTTCTTTCCAATACACCCTCCACTCCAGGAGAGCCCCCATCCCTCCTACACACAGCCGTGGATTTTCTCTTATTTGCACCCCTTTCTCAATCCAGGCCTGAGAGGGCTTTGTGCACTTACTCTCTGTTAGATACACACTGTTGTTCATTCTTTCTGCAGAAGTACAATTACTTTGGTTCCCTCAGCCACTCTCCTAGAACCTCCTTTCCTGTATCCATCACTCAGGGTCACTATATTCCCTCTTACTGAGACTAAAGCTTTTCCTTACACCAGGCAAATGGCAGCTTTATACAATACTTGATGTAATGCTGAGTAAAAGAAGACTGACGGGAGAAGACTACAGACATTTTCCAACATGGGGGATTCTGAGGTGTCTGGTGACCCAACCAATCTCTTTAAAAAAAGGTGGGGGGTGTCTATGCTGGACTTAGGCAGATGAATACTAGAGGCGAAAGAACTTCATATGGGGTATTCCAGGGGAAAGTATAGAGAGGAAATAAGCATTGTATGTGTGGAAGACATATTCACTATGATTGCAAGAGAGAAATACTTAGAAGTTAATGGTATCATGATGGCATTCAGCAAAAGAAAGAAGACAATTCACCCATATCAGTAACTGATTGAGGGGAAAAGGGCAGTTATGGATTCAGGCAAAGTGGAAGAGAGCCAAATGGGCATCCGTGTGGCACAGGGGGAAAAACACAGGGTTTGGAGTCAAAGGTGAGTTTGAATGCTACCTCTGCACCTAGCAGGCCAGTTATTCTACCATTAACAAAGTGACGATCCTACCTCTTGAGCCTCAGTTTCTTAGTAGGCAAAATGAGGTAGATATAGTATAAAAATAAGGGATAACAGAATTATAACATACCTCGTAGCGTCTGGCCCATCACAGATATGCAGTGATACTTAAAGTGAAACAAATTAATATATGCTCATGAAGCTATTCCTACACCTACCCCACTACAAGGCTCAGATACCACCATACCTATGTCCAAACAGGGGTTATGAAATAGGCTCACGGCCAAGCGGCAGGACAAAGAATGGCATTTCCAACTGATTAGGACATGTTGTAACTTATAATATGTAATTTATGTAATTTCCAACTGATTATAATCTATAAATGAATGGAAGTTAGAAGTCAAAGTATGTTCAACTTTGGATTCCAATCAGAACTACACAGCAGGCTGATGTATAATTCTGGAAGAGGAAAAGGCCTCACTAGACTATGGACCTAGTCTCCCACATGCTGAACTGGTGAGCAATAGACAAACTGGTAGATACAGTGATGAAGTAAATCATCTCCTGGCCTGAAACCCAGGAGATTCTAATGGGAAATCTGGAAAAAAAGACAAAACTTATGGGTAAATTCTAATCAAAAGGAGGAAGTTTACTGTTAATGCCCAGAACTCACGTTCCAATGAATAACCTGACCAATGACCCACAGACTCACAGATTGGATCGCCTCCTTTAAAAGACTGCAGAGAGCTGTGCAGTCCAATATAGCAGCCACTAACTGTACATGGCAATTGAAATTAATTAAAATAAAAAGTTTTAAAACTCAGTTTCTCAATCACACCTAGCCATATTTCAAGTGCTCAACAGCCAAACGTGGCTAGTGGCTGCTGTACTGGAAAGCACAGATACTGATCATTTCCATCATCACAGAATGTTCTATTAGACAGCACTGGATAGAGATCTAAATTAATACGACAAAGATCTTATGGACGAATGAGGAAGACAGAGAAATAGGGATTGGAGCCAGTTAAAGGAAGACAGAGAAACAGAACAGGGCTTTAGACAGAGAAAAAGAATAGTGGCCAGAACTATCTTATGCGTTCCAGTAAGCTGAGGAATATGAAAATGAAGAAAGGCAACCCGGATTTAGTCAAACTAGAGGGTCAGAAGCCAGAATGTAAGTAGTAAGACAATGGAAGAGAATTTGAGGTAAATGTGATAAGTGGAGATTGCAACTGGCGTAGAAGTAATCGGAAGAGAGAAGGGAGTATGGTGTACAGGAAGACTAAAAAGGTCCTATAAAATGTTATGAAATTATTTTAAAGAAGATTTAAAGAAACAAAAATGTAAGATATAACTGCAGCAAAATAATTTATACCAGGCCAATTTCAATCAGAATTCCATGAGGATTTTATTTCTGAACTTGTAAAATTATTTTAAAGGATATATGGAAGAAAATGATCAATAACATAAAAGAAAATTTGAGGAAAAAAAGAAGTTTCTATGATCAATAATATAACCTAAGCCTTGCATTTTATACCTTCCTTCTATTAAAATCCCTATAAAAGGACTCCACCAGCGTGATTTGTAAAATTCTCTATCATTGTGGGGAAATGTCAAGAGAAACACACTTGAAGCATAAAAAATCTATGGGATGCAGAGGAGGACACAGCGAAGAGAAGCATGAACCTCCCCATCCTAACCACACCTGGTTAAAGGGAATTTCATGGTAAAAATACATGGAAGAATTTCCATATCAAGTGGATCTGTGTTGGGGCTACAGCTGAGGATCAGCATTAGGGCTGCTGTACAGCATTTTTCCTTTTAAATAGAAATAATATTAGAAAACATTCAAGCAATTAAAAAATGCATAAAGTAGAAAGTATACTCTCTCAAGATACCATCCCAAAGACCACGACTGTTCACATTGGGTCTATATCCTTCTAGGATTTTCCTTGTACAGATAAACAAACACAAATAATTTTTATATACATACTATTTCCAACTTGCGTAAAAAATTTTTTTTAACTTAAAACACTGTAGACATCTTTTCATGTCAGCACGAATAAAGCTACCTCATTCACAGAATGGAGTTACTATAACTTTTGCACTTGTATCCCGAAAGGTGAGTTACTTGCTTGCCAAAATTCAGTTGTGTTCTCAACCTGTTTAGTTCATTTGTACTTGGCATTTATAATTACATACTTTAATTTAATATTTAATTAACCGAGTGCTAAAAGAGAGTTGTTTTAATGAAAACTAAGTTGAAAGTTTTAGAAAAACAGGCTAAACATGAGTTACTTAAAGACTTGTTTTTTAATTAAGTGCAGAAGAGAATTGTCAAAGCCTGTTAAAAACATGAAACTCTACAAGGATTCCATACTCACATGGTTTGCAAGTGTTTTGCTTCACTTTAAAAGAAATAATAAGGGAAATTGTGGATAGTGTGGTTTATGTAAGAAAGACAATGCTGAACTCCAATCAACAGATCACATTCAAATAAAAGGCCTTGGCACTATATCAAAGGACTAATGAATGTTCATTTATATGCCATAAAGTTCAAATAAAATGTCTCACATATGTGTGTATACCGTAGTCCCCCCTTATCTGAGGTTTCGCTTCCCAAATATATTAAATGGAAAATTCCAGAAATAAACAATTTCTAAGTTTTAAATTGCGTGTCGTTCTGAGTAATGTAATGAAATCTTATGCCGTCCTGCTCCATCCACCTGGGTGGTGAATCATCTCTTTGTCCAGGGTGTCCAGGCTGCATGTGCTACCCACCTGTAAGTCACTTAGTAGCCTTCTCAGTTATCAGATCTACTGTCATGGTACCACAGTGCTTGTGTTCAAGTAACCCTTACTGTACTTAATGATGGCCCCAAGGCATAAGAGTAGTGATGTTGGCATTCGGATATGCCAAAGAGAAGCCATAAAGTGCTTTCTTTAAGTGAAAAGGTAAAAGTTCTCAATAAGAAAAAAAAATCATATGCTGAGGTTTCTAAGATCTACGGTAACTTTTATCACATTATATTGTTATAACTGTTCTCTTTTATTATTAGTTATTGTTAATCTCTTACTGTGCCTAATTTATAAATTAAACTTTATCACAGGTATGTTATGTTTGAGAAAAAACACAGTATATATAGCATTTGGTACTATCCACAGTTTCTGGCATCCACCGT